CTAAAGGTATCATTCCCTGCTCCACTGTTGGTTCTTCATAAGGTGCCAGATACCCCAGATATCCTTTCCCTCCACCTCAGCACACTACAGGAGTAAACTCAACTTCTTTATAAAATATTGAATTGCTCTGACAAGTGAGAAATCCACCAAGTTTTGCCTTTGTTTCATGCAACATATAATGTTATTCGAGGAAAGATCTTAAACTAAATTTTCAAGATTTCACTTATGTCCTCCTTGGCTAATTAAAATGTAATTGATTAAGGTAGGCTGAATTAAATTTTCCTACCCCTTTTAATCCCTAAACCTTTTGTTTGTTTATTGACCCTTATTTACGACATAACTTCCCTCCACACCCCACTCCCCAGCCATAGTCAAATCACTTCTGTGGCCACTGGAGTGATTTGTTCATACCGATTGGTCATACAAAATACTCAGGATACTCTCTGAAATTCATTTTTCTCATTAGAAGATATAATGCATAAACTCCTTGCCCAAATTTATGCCCTTTCTCTTCATTCACAGTCTTTAGCTTTTGGCCGAAAGCAATGCTTCTGAGACTGCAATGTGCAGACCCATGACCTGGGGTCATGGTGAAATGGAGCCCAGGACTCAGTGAGGCTCAGATTCTGCATTTCCTACAATTCCCAGGGGAAGCAGGTTAGCTGTTGGTCCCAACCAACACTTTGAGTAGCGAAGACCGAAACTTTTTGTGGATCAGCCTTGTAATAATACCTCTTTAATTTTATACCCAGAACATTCATATTATGTATTTTTTTCATGTAAGAGACAAATGTTTAAACATCAAAATTTCTTCTACTCAGAAATAAGTTTATTCTTATTTTTCTTTGAAACACTAAAACTCACTACCTTTCATCTCTGTCTCCACTTCATCTCCATTTCAGTCTCATATTCCTTTCTCTTTTTTCAACCGGCTCCACAAACTAAAATATGTTGAGCATTACATGAGCATAACTACCTCTCTGGTTTTCAGATGCCTTTTGCCTTTCAGATGTTAAATAACATCTAAAATGTCTTGGATTTATATAATACTTTATGCCTTACAAAGGGCTTGCGTGCACTTATTTCATAAAAATAAGTTCACGTCTGGGGAGAGAGAGAATGATAAAGTGAAAAAAGTAGATGGACTTTGGAGATTCATCTGGGTACAAATCCTGGTTCTGTAAATATTCAATCTTGGGCAAAATTTTTAACCTCTTTGCTTAAATTTTCTCATTTGTCAAAGGGGAGGGTGTAAATAGCTGTATCGTGAACTAGTTATTTGGGTTAAGGTTGGGGTGGTGTGGTTTCAAAGGAACCTGACTAGCCAAGACTTGGAACACAGGGGATACTTCATGTGCATCCCTTTCAAATCATATCCAGCTGCCCCTCTAATCCTACTTCCTGTTTAGGCAGCTCTCAACGTCCTCTGTCCTGCATGGCTGTCCTCCAGGATGGCAACTGGCATGAGACAGTATCTGCTCCTTTTCTCTCCAAACCTTTCACGCTTCCTCCATAAAACCTGCTGCTGCTTTTGTGAGGCATGTAGCTCGTATTTGACACCTAGATTTCAAGTGATCAAACAAGACATGATGACAAATCTAAGAAAAATGACACCAGCCTTTTGAAAGAAACCAAAATCAATTCCCTCCCCTCCTTTCCTTGAGGTTCCCTCCTTTCCAGCTGTTATCTTACCTCATCTATCATACTTAGAAATCCATATGTCTAGTTTAAATCACTGTTTCTCAGGCAACAGCCAGGCCATTTAGCAAGAGTCTAAAGCGAGCCAATATAATATTCTGCCTAGAGTGATATTCGGTCAAAGGTTACTGTGCCAGAGTAGGTTAATTATTCTAAAAGGACCTACTTTTACTATAATTATTGATTGCCATGAACTAATGAAAAAAAAAAGCTGCTATTTATTAAGTGCCTCTGTATTCCCTAGAAACACGTACATGTGTATCTCATTTTGTCCTCATCACGACTCTGCAAAAGGTTTTCCAATTTTAGGAAAAGTTTAAGATCAAGTTGGTCCAACTCACAAGCTGGACCAGCTTGGTAGGCAGAGCCAAGATTCAACCAACTCATAAGTGATTAACTGATTGTGTTATGTTTTAATTTAAAATTTATGTTTAGCCCCAGGGAATATGTGTATATAACAATAGAGTTCCACCAGACTTAGAACAAATAACAGCAGTCCCTCCCCACCTGTAATTCCCATTCCATTCCCCAGAGGAAACCTCTTTTGACAACTTTTTCTGCTATTTACTTTTATTCTTTTTTTTAATGTTTATTTATTTATTTTGAGAGAGAGAGGAGGGGAAAGTGAACAGGGGAGAGGCAGAAGAGAGGGAGAGAGAATCCCAAGCAGGCTCTGCACTGTCAGTGCAGTGAGACCTACAAACCGAACCATGAAATCATGACCTGAGCTGAAATCAATAGTCGGATGGTTAACTGACTGAGCCACCCATGCACCCCTACTTTTATATTTCTTTTAAAGTATGATTAGTTGCTATTTCTTAATTTTTCAACTTCTGAGTTATAATTGACTTACTACTATGAATGATGAAAATTTAACTCTCAACCACCATGTCCCCCAACAATTCCCCTTTTCTCTCCTCCTAATAGAGTAAGAATTGTTTTTAACTCAATAGTCAACGCCTATATTGATTTGGACATAGAAATGTTATTCACGGCTGAACAACAGTAGTACTGTTTGATAACTTTTCTTATGTGACGGTTTTTCTTGGAATTAATAATTGTGTCACCACGCCACTTCTTTAGTATTTTCTGTTTCTGTTACTAATTCATCCCCCGCTCTTTGCCAGAACCAGAACCATAAAACTCTCAGTATGGTCAAATGCACCAAGTGATTTACGGTTTTCCAGTGTGTGCATGTTTTGTTTTGTTTTTCCCGAACACTCATCCTACAGCCCTAAACTACCAGTCCACACTGAATGCTCAAAGTCTGCTTTATTCATTGTGTTGGGCTCTTATTTGGCTCTTTCCACCTATAGATACACATCGTTCATGTTTCCTGCGTGGTTTCTTTGATAATTTCCCTCCTTTTGATAGTATCTCTGTTCTCTGTATCTGAAGTCCTACTAGTTAGATGTTTGACTTCTAAAAAAGATCCTCTGTTTCTTCTTTTCTTGCCTATCTTTTTTGCCTATTTAGTGTAGATTTCAGGTGATTTCTTCAACTTTTCCTTCCAACTAATGGTTTATTTATTCAGTATTTTATTTTTCACTTCCAAGGTCATTTCCTCTTCTCTGAATGTTTCTTTACTATGGTATCCTGTGCTTGTTCCAGGAATGCAATATTTTCTTTTCTCTAAGGATATGGATATTAATTATAGGTTTTTTTAAGTTATAATTTTGGTTGTATGTTTGTTTCCTTCAAAATTTGTTTTTAAATTCTAGTTAGTTAACATACAGTGTAATATTGTTTTCAGAAGTAGAATTTAGTGATTCATCCCTTACATATAACACCTGGTGCTCAACAGGACAAGTGCCCTCCTTAATACCCATCACCTATTTAGCCCATCCTCCACCCACCTCCCTCCATCAACCCTCAGTTTATTCTCTGTAGTTAAGAGTCTCTTATGGTTTGTTTCCCTCTCTTTTTTTTCCATTTCCCATATGTTCATGTTTTGTTTCTTAAACTCCACATACGAGTGAAATCATATGGCATTTGCCTTTCTCTGACTTATTTTGCTTAGCATAATACACTCTTGCTCCATCCATGTCATTGCAAATGGCAAGATTTCATTCCTTTTGATGGCTGAGCAATATTCCATCATATATATATATATATATATATATATATATATATATATATCCATCCATCATACACACACACACACACACACATCACATCACATCACATCTTCTTTATCCATTCATCAGTTGATGGAAATTTGGGCTCTTTCCATACTTTGGCTATTGTTGACAATGCTGCTATAAATATCGGGGTACATGTACCCCTTCAAACCTGTATTTTTGTATCCTTTGGATAAATACCTGGTAGTGCATTGCTGGATCATAGGGTAGTTCTTTTTTTTTTTTTCTTTTTTTGAATGCTTATTTATTTATTTTAAGAGACAGAGAGACTGACAAAGTGGGGGAGGGAGGGAGGGAGAGAGAGAGAGAGAGAGAGAGAGAGAGAGAGAGAGAGAATCCCAATCCCTCCATGCTGTCAGTGCAGAGCTCGACATAGAGCTTGATCTCATGAACCACGAGATCATGACCTGAGCCGAAATCAAGAGTCCCACACTTTGCTGACTGAGCCACCCAGGCACCCCCAGGCAGTTCTATTTTTAACTTTTTGAAGAACCTCCACACTGTTTTCCAGAGTGGAATGCACCAGTTTGCATTCCCACCAACAGTGTGCAAGAAGGTTCCCCTTCCTCCCCATCCTCATTGATACTTGTTTTTTCTTGTGTTGTTGTTTTTAGCCATTCTGACAGGTGTGAGGTGGTATCTCATTGTGGTTTTGATTTGTCAAATTATAGTTATTTTTTTTAAATTTTCTTCTCCCTGATCCTCCTATTTCTTCAAGTAGATTTCTTCTACGTGCTTATTTGTCTCTCATCTTTCATATTAGAGGCTCTCCTCTTGCCTGTATCACTCTGAGGTACTCTTAAATATAACACAGGAAGCTCTTCATGGACACAGCATCCAACTAGTGAACTTTTAAGAGAGTGATAAAAGGGTGATGAGGTGGTGGGTCAGCTTGTTCACTGTTATCCAAAGTGACTATATTTCCCAAGGACATCAATTTCTTTCTTGGAAGATATAAACCTGGCTGCCAGCATCCCTGGAGCCCAGAGAGAAAATGGGCATGTAGTCTAGCAGGTCAGTAAGCTGACTTCACTAAATCTCCTAGTCCAGCCCTTTACCCTTAGCCACAGCTGAGCAAACCTTGTAAGAAATTGAATTCCAAGTTGTTGCTGTTTTTCAACCAGCTACCAGAGAATGGATCTTACCGTTCTATACACTAACTTTCAAAACCTGTTTTCAGCCCCACTCCACAACTTTGTCTCCAGAGGTTCCTGTTGCTGTCATATCTTGACATTGTGGGGTTCTGCAGTGTGATGTGGCTGGCTTCCTGTCACCTTCTCCTGCTCCTACTGCAGGTGTCTAGGTTGCTGCTCTCTCTGCCGTGCTAAAACAGTAACTGCCTACTTATTTGCTTCCAGTTTCCAACATTGTGTTGATTTCCCCATTTGCTATGATACTCTCTCCTGTTCTTTGTCTTCATTAATGTGTGTTGTTCAAACTCCTCACTACCATTTTAGCGAGATGTGAGGAGGGGACAGAAATATACATGAGAACTCATTTACCATGTTTAACCAGAAGTTCAATGCTTTATTCTTGTTTAGCAGTGATTTTAGAATCACAGCGTATTAAATAATGGCCTAAAACCTCACTTGACTCTCAAATAAACAGAGGACAATTAGGTTGCACCATAGATATGTTCTATTATTTCATAAAATAGTAACCTAGGTGTACTGAACATGTTAGTATAACTTTTTTTTATTTTATTTAAGTTTTTTATTTTGAGAGAGAGAGAGAGAGAGAGAGAGAGAGAGAGCAGAGTTGGAGCAGAGAGAGAAGGAGAGAGAGAATCCCAAGCAGGATCCATGCTGCCAGTGCAGAGCCCAACACAGGGCTCGAGCTCATGAAATGTGAGATCCTGACCTGAGCTGAAACCAAGAGTCGGACCCTTAACAGACTGAGCCGCCCAGGCGCCTCCTTGTTAGTCTAACTTTCATGACTAGAACAGAAGGAAGAAAAAGAGGGAGAGAGGAAGGAAGAAGAGGAAAAAAAAAGAAATAATGGAGAGTCGCTAAATGTTTAAAAATCATACATGATAGTAAATAAACTTTACACTTTACGTAAGTTTTCTTCATTAATATTTCTTGGGCTTCACTATTAGGTGATATAAAACAATTTTATTCTCATACAATAATTGCCTTGAGATTTGGCTTCCTGAACTAACAGGAGGCAAAAAGTATACTTTTATTGCCAAGAGCATAGTTTGTTTTAAACTCAAAACTGTCCCTATAAAATTGCAGCCCAGAAGAGGATTTGTGGATTTTAAAATATCCTGTATATCTTCTGTAGACTTGGAATGTGATGTCAATATTGGCTTGAAATCATTTGTGGCAGATTTGTGATTTGTTTTTGTTTCTATTTTGGAGGAAAAGAGTAAAAGAATAAAAGGAAGAAATGAGTAACTTTGGTTTTATTCTTGGCTCAAAACCAGATATTCAAGGCTCATGTTCACTGCCTTTGAATGAATGAAGCCTCTGGTAAGTGTAGTGATCTTTGCAGCCCTGCAACATGGTTTGTAGTCCCCCAGTTTGCATCATGGGGGCTGGCTGAGATTATTCAGGGGAAGAGATGACAAAGGAAAATGTGATTTAAAACTCTGCTTCCAGCCTGCAAACTGCCTGTCTGGGACTGTGTCAGATCAATATGGCCACTGCTTAGGATGTGGGAATGTGGAAGGTAAGCTCTGTGACGTGGACAGAAAAGTCACTTCTGTGGTCAGTGTGGGCACCACCTGATATGTGTCCTGGATGCAGAGGAGCTGATGGATGGTAAACCCCCTGAGCCATGAGGCATCTATGTGAACCAAGAAAGTGTCTATGGGCCTGAAGGAAAGACCTATAAAAATGTCTGCCAGTTCAGGTCGCTAACCTCTCAGAAGAGCACCAATATTAGCAAGAAGCACAAAAGATCTCATGAATCAGGTAATACAGAATCCCTATACCATTCACTTGATTTTTAAGTTTATTTATTTATTTTGAGAGAGAGAGAGTGTGTGCACATGCGAGTGAGGGTGGGACAGAGAGAGAGAGAGAGAGAGAGAGAGAGAGAGAGAGAGAGAAAGAGAGAATCACAAGTAGGCTCCTAGCTGTCAGCATGGAGCCTGATGCAAGGCTGGATCCCACAAACCACGAGATCATGACCTGAGAGGAAATCAAGAGTCAGACACTTAACCGACTGAGCCACCCAGGCACCCCCCCCCCATTCCCTTGAAATTTTAAAGAATAAAAATATAGGGGAGCACCTGGGTGGCTCAGTCATTTAAACGTCCAACTTTGGCTCAGGTCATTATTTCATGGTTCATGAGTTGGCTTTCTGCTGTCAGCATAGAGTCCCCTTTGGATCTTCTGTCTCCTCACTCTCTCTGCCCTCCCCCACTTGTGCTCTCTGTCTCTCAACAATAAACTTTTTTTTTAAAAAAGAATAAAGAATATATGTCTCTCTGTATGTTATCTATTTCTAACATTGACTGTGTGTGCTGAATTGATGAAAGAGCCTGATATTTTTTTGTGGTTACAGTCTGACTTAATTTCCAGGTTATCTGATCTCCAGCAGTCCTAAAAAATTCAGGTATAAGGAATTTGTTGTCTAGCACTTGATTTAGTGCTCCATAGATAAAATTATACAAGAAAAAAAAATTAACTGTACTAGGGCTCAACTCTGATTTTATTGAATAATAGGAAACGTTATTGAGTAAATGTTTTTTACATTTCATAACATTAACAGAATTCTCTTTATCTCTTCTACAGTTATCATGTAAAATCAACTACATTTTAATTTAGTGATATCTAGATGGAATTAAAAATAATAAGAAGCAATACATTGATAAATATGAATTATATCTGTATGGGAACTAATACCTTTTTAAAAGTGTGGATATGGCACATAACCAATTGGATGAAATTTCATTTTGGTGTGAGAGTCAAAACTTAAATCATTTGAAAGAACCACATGAACTAGATTGTAAATCTACATTACTTAATAAGTAAGTAGAAAAGACTTCCTATGTCATTTGCATTTATTTGGGGGCACTTAAGAGCTATAACAAGATAAAATAAAGTTCTTATAAGGCTGCATTTTTCTTGACAGGATAAAGAAGCCAATGTAAACATAAAACTACTATACTCATTGGCGAAGATGAAGAAAAATAAAGCAACTTTCACAGAGATGGTTTTACAGCCCCATATTAATGTAATTCATTCTTCAAAAATGAGTCATTCTAATTTCTTATAGATTTTCAAATGCCTTAATGCATGCTCTCTAGAGTTCTATATTGCTCATTAAACACTTCAAAATATAGTATCTGGAGATAGCCATTAATAGAACAGGGCAAGTTCAACAGTTATATCCGTATCTAGAACCTACTGTGTGTTATCACATGCTCACATTCTAAACACATGTGTTTCAGAATATGATCATTCCACTTAGTTTTCAAATGTCCATAGGTGCAATTTACCCTACTACATTTGTTTCTAACAAGTAAAAATATAAGATCTCAAGAAGCAGATTCCCAGAATGAAATAAGGCTTCACCAGCAATGTCCCCACTCTAATAATGTCAACCCATTCTAATACAGTATTAGAATTGCAAATACAGATACACAGTTCGCAGAGCATTACAGTACTGGATGTTCTGAAAGTCAAAACCCTGGAGAATTACATAGTTTAGCAAAGACATTTTTGCCTAAGATCCCGTGTGTTCAAAATAATCTCTCCAATCAGTAATAACCTATTATTGTGAATATATTCTGTTGTAGATGAGGGACAACAGTCATTTTCTCCAGAATGATAGAAAGATGGTGACAGGTGAAGTCTAGTGATCCTGATATCATTATCATATTTATCACTAATGAGTATTCTAAGACTAAGCTTTCCATTGTCCATCTTCTGGGGTTTTTTTTGCTTTTATTTTTGTTTTTAATTTTTAAATGAGAGTAGCTTTTCTAGAATCACTTTTAGGGCCACCAAAACTAGTGTCAGAAATCTTCAAAATCATTTGTATCATTGAGTCACAACTTCTCAGTGAAATTTGTGAGTTCCTAGAGCTGAGAAGGTAAGTATAAAAGAGCTGGTGATGTCAACAATTTGGGAATCCAAAATCCTACCATTTTTTATTTGGCTACCCCCTCCATACTCTAATTTCTAATTTCTACATGGATAATAATGCTACTTGAAGTTAAAGTATAAGGTGGGGCACCTGGGTGGTTTAGTCGGTTAAACGTCTGACTTTGGCTTAGGTCCTGATCTCATGGTTTGTGAGTTTGAGCCCCACATCATGCTCTCTGCTGTCATCACAGAGCCTACTTTGGATATTCTGTCTCCCTCTCTCTCTGCCCCTCCCCTACTCACACTCTCCCTCTCTCTCTCAAAAATAACTAAACATTTAAGTTAAAGTGTAAGAAAATGAATTCAGAGAGGAGAATTCTTTCAGAATCTTGTAACAAGCCTCTAAAAATTCACTGCATTTACAAAAACATATTTAACCATTTTTCTGTTAATTTATGTTAATACATTCCTATGATGGTTTGAATTCATGTGCTTTGCAAAATGACCAATTTGCCAACATAATTATGATTTTTCTACATTCATAAGAAACAATTTGCAGTTATTTTAACATAGTGATGTATACACATCAGCAACAGGCTAAAATCCTTTAAAATGTTTTCAAGGCTGCATTTTACATAACTCTGACACAATGTTCTTATGCTAAATAATACAAACCTAATGTGGTTTAACAGTCCATTGGGTATGATTTTCTTTGGGGTTTTGGCAGGTAATATGATAGATTGAGTTTGAACGTTGATCATGCTAGGGCTACAGAAGTCTGTGAGACCTTTTGCAGAGAAGACAGGTAGATTTATCATCAGTTATATTAGCACAGGTTATTGTGAGTATATTAAGTTTGTAAAACACAAGAAAATTAAAGTGCCAGCTTTGCCGATTAATATGTGACATTAGGTGAACAATGAAGTCATACCAGAGTTTTCTGTAGTCAAGCATAAAGTAATTGATTTGTGGGCAATTCAGAGTTAAAACTAAATGGGTTTGATTCATTTAAGTCCAAGAAAAGGTTACTGTTGTCAGCAATCAAAAAGTACTCCCCAAAGAGGAAAAACAAAAAAGAAAAGTATTGCCAAATATTAGGAGCTTTTAACACAAGATAGGACAAAAAAATTTGGTGGTTAGGAGACCTAAGCTAAACCATCCATTCTTTATGAGTTTCTTGATATAAAACGTACTCCCTAATGTTGAGAAGCAACAATTTAACACCAGTCCACTTTTTGTTTTATTTCTTATCCCATTTATTTTTGATTGGATGTTCACAACTTAATACTTCCAAGGGCCACACAGAGTAGCTTTGCCCTAGAAAAGGGGGATTTATGTGATTGCTAGCTTTTTTATTTGGTGCCCTTGGCATTGGCATTCCTGCTTTCTTGGGACAAAAAAGAAAAATTACTTTAATGTTAAGTTGACCGATGGCCCACTCTGATTTCCTGAGATTACTACTAATGAAAAAATACTTAATATTAAGAAATAGAAGCTATGGAATATAAACTTTATAAATGCTATCTGCCTTTATAGGGCCATACCAACAATTAAATAATTGTACAATATCAGCTGATACCAATTGCTATGTAGGCCGCAACAAAGAGTTAAATAAGTGGGGAAGAAAATTCTTATAGCTAGATTTAAAGGTGGCTTTATTTATTTATTTATTTTTTTACTCTGGGCCATAACAAAGTCAATTTCTGAGATGTTGTATCACTTAAGATAAAACTGAGCTATGCAACAATGATACTGCTGTTGTTTCTCAGAAAGCACTTTTAGTAAACATAATTAAATATTAATTAAATATGTGTATATGCATATAGTTTGAATTTTATCCTCTAACAGGTAAAAGTGTCCTCTGTAGCAACTTGTAGGAGTTTAGGATATTTTTTATTAATGTTTTTTTTTTAAACAAAAATAACACTGAAATAGAATTTACCATATTCTTAGTTGCTATTTCATTTCTAGGAAAAGGGTCTGTTTTAGATTTAGCTCCATTATTGAAATAAAATTATAAAGCTAGTTATGGTGTATTGGGAAAAATGAGATGTATGGGAAAACATTATCAGAAATGTAATGGGGAAAATATTCACTTCATAGACAGACACACCTTATTTAAATCTTGGCTCTGCCACTTAATGATGTGACTGACCTTGGGTAAGGTGCTTAACTTCATTAAAGTCACCTGTGAAATAAGAAAATGCCTACCTTGCCACTTGGTAGTATTAAATAAGAATTGAACAAAGCTTGGTACACATACGTTCAAAGATGTTTCCTTTTCTCCCATCCGCGAGAGAAAATCAGATCCTAGAGTAAGGACTATTATTATTATCCCTTATTTTATGTCACAAGGAACAGCTTTTATATTTTTTGATCTGGTCCATTTTTTGGTTAACAGTTTTGTTGAGATCTATTTCACATACCATACAATTCACCCACTTAAAGTATACGATGTAATGGTTTTTAATATATTCACAGAACTGTGCAACAATTCATGGCCACAATCAATTTTATTCACCACAATCAATTTTATATTTTCATTAGTCTAAACAAGAAACCTCACTCTCCTTAGTCATCACCCTCCAATCCTCCCATGTTGTCCAGCCCTAGACAATCACTAATCTACTTTCTGTCTCTATAGACTTTCCTATACTGAATGTTTCATATAAGTGGAATCATACATTACGTGGTCAATTGTGACTGACTTCTTCCGTTAACATGAGGTTTTCAAAGTTCATGCGTGCTGTAAAATGTGCCAGTATGTTCCTTATTATTCTTTTTTATTGGAATAATACTCCATTGTGTGTGTATGCCATGATGTTACCATGAACATGTATGTACAAGTTTTTGTGCAGACAGGTTTTCATTTCTCTTGGGTATATGCCTACAGGTAGAACTGCTGTATTATGTAGTAACTCTCTGTTTAACCATTTGCTAAACTTTCCAACGCATCTGCGCCATTTTACATCTCCACCAGCAGTGTATTATGGTTCCAGTTCTCTACACTATTGCCAATGTCTGTTATTATATCTTTTGCTCTGTTTCTTTTTTTTAAATTATAGTTTTCCTAGCGTGTGTGACATGGTGTCTCAGTATGCTTTTCATTTGCCTTTCCTAATGGTTCATGATGTTGAGTCTCTTTTCATGTGCTTACTGGCCATCTGTATATCTTCTTCCTGGGAATGTCGACTCAGATCTTTTGTCCATTGTTAGCTGAGTCATTTGTCTTTTTCTTACTGAGTCATAATAGTTCTTTATATATTCTAGATGCAAGCCCCTTATCACATACGTGGTTCCTTTTTTTTTCACCTCAGCATTCTCCCCCAACTTAGTACAGCATCTTCACAGCTTTATTCTTACTAAGTCTCTTAGAATTTCTAACAAAATGTTTTCCCATCCTAAATAATCCATATATTCAATTAGGTGACAGACACCTCTGAATAAGTTTATAATGCAAGGTTTCTTTGTCACTAGGATTCCCCTTTCATGCTGCTTAAATACTATGCATATTTTGTGGCAATTTTGGGTAAAAGTCTCCTGACTATTTGAGTAGGAAAAAAAAGCCCTCAATTATTAGTGCCAATTGAATTTATACATGCACAAATTATTTACAAAAAAAAAATTTCTTTACACACCGGAGCCATTTTTTGACACAAATTTCTCACTTAATTTTTTTCTTATGGCTTCTGTTTTTGCTTCGCCTCCTCAAAATACAGAGAACTTCACTCAAAATAATGACACTTTTGGTTGAAAAGTTTCAGCCTATCCAATACCATATTGATAGTGGAAGAAAAAGGGAAACAACTGTTCCTTCCTGATGGTGATAGGCATATTTCAGTGCAGGTATGGGAGTTATTTGCACAGTCCACACAGTCAATATATTTGTTGACAGTGCTAATGAATTCTTTCTTCCAGATCACATTTTATAATTTAAGTTTGAAATATTAAAATGTTTCCACTGTTATGTTAGGTAACATAAAAATTTGCGTATTCAAGGTACTAGATTTACAAAATCATTTCACATGTATAATCTCATCAATACGACTTAGAAGTCTGCACATGGTGATAGAGAAAAACGATGCAAGGGGTAATGTAGTGTTTCTCAAAGTGTGGCTCAGAGATCACAGTCACAGGATCATCTTGACACCCTGGTGAAATGACCAACTGGAGGACCCAACTGTAACCAAAAAGGATCCAGGATATAAGCAGTGTGCCTCACAAATCTGCCTTTTAAAACAATTGTTCAAGATGACCCCAATTTACCCTAAAGTTTGACAGCCACTGATATAGTTAAACAAGCAAATAAATAAATAAATAGCATAATACGTTTCAGAATGAAAAAGACTGTGAGCAAATTACTTCACCTCTTTGACCCTGTTGTCTCACCTTCTCAGGAACATCTCAGGACTGTTTAATAATGAATGCATGTCAATCACCTAGTGCATTGCCACGCCCAGAGTAGGCAGTCAATAAATAGTAGTTATCAGTTTTTCAAACCATACCTCTAGGGCATTCTTCTCAGAATAATGGGTGGAGAGAGCATTTAAGTGGAAGAAACACTGTATGCAAAGCAGGGGGGACAATCATGTTATGCAAATCACTCACTATAACAGTGCAGAGGGAGTGAGTGGGAGTAGTAATAGGTAAATCTGGAAGAGAAGGATTGGGCTAGATAAAAGGACCCTAAATTCAGAGTACAGTGTTGAGGTTTCTCACAATAAGCCATGAAGTCATTGAAGGGTTATTGATTTTTATTGTAAGAATTTTCTAGCATCATCAAAAGTAGGGAGAATAGTATAATATTTTTTTTTATATTTTTTTTAAATTTTTTTTCAACGTTTTTATTTATTTTTTGGGGGGGGACAGAGAGAGACAGAGCATGAACGGGGGAGGGGCAGAGAGAGAGGGAGACACAGAATCGGAAACAGGCTCCAAGCTCTGAGCCATCAGCCCAGAGCCTGATGCGGGGCTCGAACTCACGGACCTCGAGATCGTGACCTGGCTGAAGCTGGACGCTTAACCGACTGCGCCACCCAGGCGCCCCGAGAATAGTATAATAAAGCTGTATATACACATTACCCAGATTCAATAATTACCAACATTTCACCACATTGACTTGTCCATCTCTTTTTTATTTTTCTTTTTTCTTTGCTGAAATATCTAAAAGCTATCCCAGCTTTCGTGTCATTTCACCCCAGTATGAATCTATAGAATATATGACACTTTCATACATAATCACAGTGCCTTTATCATACCTAAAAAAGTTAATGATATTTCTTTGGTATCATCTACCATCCAGTCCATAGCCACATTTCCCCAAATGTCTTCAAAAATGTCCTTTTATAATTAGTTGCTAAAAATTAGGTTCCAAAAAATTAAATAAATAAAAATAAAAATGAGGCTCCAAACACAGTCTACACATTACAGTTGGTTATTTGGTCTCTCAAATCTCTCTAATCTAGAAAAGTACTCTCACCCATCCTTATTTTTTATGTCATTGGCTTATTGCAGAAACCAGGTGATTTGTTTATATAAAATACTACGTGTATGGATTTGTCTATGGGCTTCCCTGGGAGTGGGGGTGGACATTTAACTTTTTTCTGTTCTTCTGTATTTCATATAAGAGGATGTTTTCTCTGGAGACTTATTTAGATTCAGGTTTGGCATTTTGGGCAAGAGCCCTCCAGAGGGGTGCTGTGGACAGCCTCTCACATCACAGTAGAAGGCACACCAGGTCTGGGTAGTCAATAAGGCTAATACTGGTCAATTGTTTCAGGAGGCAAAAGCCTGATCCCACTGTGATAAAGCTCTCCATCATCTTTCAACTAATAATCTCAACCAACTGAAGATTAGTGCCTGAATCAATTCTTTGTTAGGGGTTACACAATAGTGATGTTCTAATTCTAGCATTCATTCTATGTTTGTAGACTGGAATTTGTAAAGAATTATTCTGGAAGAAAAAGGCAGCAATACAATAATAGTAGGGGACTTGGATACCCCACTTTCAATAATGAATAGATCATCCAGACAGAAAATCAATAAGGAAATATTGGACTTAAACTACACGTTAGACTGGATGGACCTAACCAACACATACAGAACATTCCATCCAACAGCAGCAGAATACACATTCTTCTTAAGCACGTATGGAACATTCTCCAGGATATACTATACATTAGGTCACAAAACACATCTTAATAAATTTGAGAAGACTGAAATCATATCAGGCATCTTTTCTGACCACAATGCTATGAAACTGGAAATTAATTATAAGAAGAAAACTGGAAATTTCACAAATACATGGAGATTAAATAACACACTCCTGAACAACCAATGGGTCAAAGAAGAAATGAAAAAATAATTTAAAAACATCTTGAGACAAATGAAAATGGAAACACAACATACCCAAATTTACAGGTAGCAAAAGGAGTTCTAAGATGGAAGTTTATAGCAATAAATGCCTACATTATGGAAAAAAGAAATATCTCAATAAACAAACTAATTTTACACTTCAAGGAACTAAAAAAAAGAACTATGCCCAAAGTTAGTATAAAGAAGGAAATAATAAAGACAAGAAATAGAGACTAAAAAAACAATAGAAAATATCAATGAAACTGAGAGGTAGTTTTTTTGAAAAGATAAGCAAAATTAACAAATCTTTAGCTAGACTAGCTAAGAAAGAGAGAGAGAGAGAGAGAGAAGACCAAATAATTAAAATCAGAAATAAAAGAGAAGACCTTTCAACTGATAGCATAGAAATAAAAAGGATCATAAGAAACTACTGTGAATAACTGTATGTCAATAAGTTAGATAATCTTTAAAGATTAAAGGCTAAATTCCTAGAAACATACAACCTTCCAAGAATGAATCATGAAGACATAGAAAATCTGAACAGACTATTCACTAGTAAGGAGATTGAATCAGTAACCAAAAATGCCCCAACAAAGAAAAGCCCAGGACCAGATCACTTCACTGGTGAAATATAATAAACATTTAAAGAAGAATTAATGCCAATCCATCTCAGACTCTTCCAAAAACTAAAAGAGGAAGGAACACTTTCAAAGTCCTTTTATGAGATCAGCATTACCCTGATGCTATAGCCAGACAAACATGCCACAAGAAAGGAAAATTACAGGCCAGTATCTCTAATGAACATAGATGCAAAACTCCTTAACAAAATATCAGCAATCTGAATTCAACAACACATTACAAGAATCAAACATGAGCAAGTGGGATTTATTCCAGGAATGCAAGGATGGTTCAATATATGCAAATCCATATATAGAATATACCATATTAACAAAATGAATGATAGAAATTACATGATCACCTCAGTAGATGCAGGTAAAGCATTTGACAAAATTTAGCATCCTTTCACTATAGAAAATCCCATAAACTAGGGATAGAGAGAATGTACCTCAACATAACAAAGGCCATATATGACAAGCCTACAGCTAACATCATACTCAGTGGTGAAAAGCTGAAAGCTTCAGGAATAAGGATGGCCATTTTCATCACTTTTCTTCCACATGGTACAGGAAGTCCTAGCCAGAGCAATTAGGCAAGAAAGAGAAATAAAAGGCATCCAAATCAGAAAGGAAGAAGTAATACTCTCTATTTGCAGATGATATGATATTATATATAGAAAACCCTAAACACTCCACCAAAAAACTATTCGAACTAATAAATGAATTCAGTAAAGTT